TGTCCTCCTGATCGGGCTATAAAGACTTGCGACTTGTGGTATTGTTTTTCCAGCAGACCCGTAAATATTTGTATCAGCGGCACAGGAATACAAAATTTTTCAATTTCGCTGGCAAGTGTATGAGTGAAAGCTACTTACTACTATTAGGGTGCAGCTCAGTACGCTTTTACAGTTCTGGCATCTTTTGCTAGGCCTTCTCTCTCTATGAGGCTGGCTGGATTTAGTCCTCCGTTTCTTAATTGTACTACTTTCATCTAGCTCATTGTCGCTAGGTTTGCATAGTTTTCCGTTAAATTACCCTGTCACAAATATGTAATGTGTTAGTTCAGTAGCTGGTATAGATCTAGAAATATCTTCATACTTAATCTCCAGTTCGCATGGTCTTTAGCGAATAATTAGTTGCGTAATTCTGAGTATAGGATAGATATGATACCATCATGAAAACTTGGCTAGCCTGGACCAATATTTTTACTTATGGAAGATAAACCTAACACCAACCTGGGGCAGTTGGTCGCCCTCCCGGGACTAGAGTTGGTTTCTGGGTTTGAGGGTCATGTATGATGTCTTTGTGATGACTCTAGAATAACGGGGCTGTTGGCGGCTAGAGCCAGAAAGTTTTGGATTTGTTCTCTATGGAGGGATTTTTCCGTTATCACCATGCTTAGCAGGCTGGTTGGTAGTTCCAGTATGGTAGTATAATACCCGGAAAGATGCTGCAGCCCACCCTCCAGTATTTTGATTCCTTAGTCGGCTATTACGACTCACGTGGGAAGATTTGATGCTTTTTTAGGGTCACAACACAGGCCTAAATATTGTTTTTAATTATAAACATCTTTACTGGATAATAATACTTAATTGATTACAAATAAATAAGTAATTTGAGACAATCATCCGTAACATTGCGAAGTCCGCTGTATAAATAAATTTCGGTGGATTGGTTCTTAATTCCGGTGGCTCAAATACAATTTCGGTGGCTCTTGATAATTTCAAATTGACATATCTCGAGAAATATTGATAGTATTTTGATCTCTACCATATCATTGAATGATACAAGTTATTTAGTATTATTTCTGCCACAAAAAGTTGTGGAAAGTGGAAATTAAAATTCGCCACCGGAATTAGGCAAAAGACGAGTGTGTTGATATTCACCCGTTTTCTTACCAATTATAACAAACTGTTAGTTAAGTTAGAAGTGTTAGAACCACGTCCTTAGATACCAAATTTTATCGATATCGAGTGTTTCTGCCTGAAATCACCCGACTCTATCGAGTACCGTGTAATTTGGTTCCACAAGGCACATCACTTTACGTAAACTACACAAATACTATTTATACGTTACGTACCGGTAATAAGACTCTTATTTCAATGGCGAATAGCAAATTGCTATCAACGTATACTATGGATGGAATAGCTAGATATAAAATGCCTATATATCCTAGTTTGTTGCATGAATTTTTAAACACCTGTGGGTACAAAACTACCGACGCGGTCAATAAAAATTGATTGTAACGGATATTATTGGTGATTTGTATGTACCTATTAACTGAATGGAACCCTACTAGGGTTCTATAAACATACGAGTAGCTACTTACCTACCTATTGTAAATGCAAAAATCACGCTTCCACTGAATCGATTTAAATGAAAAGTATGTAGATAATTTCGGAATCAGCATCTTTATTTTCGTAAAAACATGATAAGTATGCGGGCAGGTCCCGCACTAGGTGGACCGACGATCTGGTAAAGGTGGCGGGAAATACCTGAATGCGGGCAGCGCAGGACCGGTCGTTTGTCCAGCAGTGGACGTCATTTGGCTGAAACGAACGAACAATGGTAAGTTTTGAAGATATTGCTTTCAGGAGTATAGGTACATTGAGAAAGTTTAAAAATTATTGAAACCCTGAGAAATGAATACTAAATATTGCTATTGTCGTTACTTTATAAGATTCCGTACTCCGGAAGTATGAAGCAACCATTTTGTTTTGATTGACAGATGCCAAAGACCTGTCATGGTTGTTTCAACAGTCCTAGGCTAGCACATTATTTTGTAGAAAAACACATTGAAAACTATACGGTAGTTGTTATTTAGATACCATAGCCAATCCCATTGAAACAATTTACGTTTAAGTACATATCTATCAAACAGAAGGCAATGGAAGGAGTTGGAGGAGGCCTTTGCCAATAGGCACACCGAAATCTTAGACATTTTGTGAATGTTTTTTTAAGTGAAGAAAGTGTCAAATGCAAAATGTAAAAATGTTTCGGAAATAAAAGGCTTATTATTATTATTATTACATATCTATCTACGCAGTTTAAAAACTATCAAAAAGTACTAGCAAATATTAGTCATTCAATTGAAATAAGTAGTGATTTTTTCTGTGACAGTCCGATAAGGCGGGCGAAACCACGGCAGAAGCTAGTTATTTAATAAAACATCAATTTCCACGCTTTTAAAGTTTAGTGCCAAAAGAAAAATCTTGTAAATATGTGAGTATGTTAATAACCTCTCACTACCAAAAATATTTTCATGTAAAATATAGCCACGATGACACCGTATGTCTCGTCTTACTGTCAAAAAGTTGTCAGGTCTCATGTAGAGCCAAGCTTTTAGTTCAAGCCCTCGAACGTTCGTTTCAGCCAAATGACGTCCACTGCTGGACAAAAGCCTTATTTCCTTAAAACTTAGTCAAACAATCGGGTAAAAAGGCGGGTATGCCTCATTCTTCCGATGAGGGGAGCCCCACATTACCTACCCTGTCTTCTCAGGGTAGGTAGGTATGCAATTTCATATACTNAAAAAGTGGTATGAAAATCCATTGTCTGCTTTTGTTCATTCGTTTCAGCCAAATGACGTCCACTGCTGGGCAAAGGCCTCCTCCAAGGATTTCCACAAAGAACGGTCCTGCGCTGCCCGCATCCAGGCTCTTCCCGCGACCTTTACCAGATACCAGATCGTCAGTCCACCTAGTAGGAGGCCAGCCCATAGTGCCCACGCTACGTCTTCCAGTCTGCTTTTGTTAAGAAATAAAATATCTAACTCTATCTAACTCAAATAAGTAGGTAGGAAGGAATCAACGTAGTCTTAAATAATTAAGTGCCTTTATTTTTAGGAGCTTATTAGTTATTTTCGATTTTCCCTCCAGTTCGGTCAATGACGTCACTGTAGGTGGTAAGTTACTACGGTACTGATCACGTGACCATCAATAATTCGGTTGTACGTCATCGATGCCTACACTTTGACGTCAAGAGTATGTGGAAGAGTTCATGTAACTGCTAGAAACCCTAGAGAAACTTACAAACATGACAATTGACAGTTGTCATCATCATCATCATTTTAGCCACAGGACGTCCACAGCTGACGTTCATCGCACGTTGTATTGTTGGGCAACAATAGCCCAACTGTGAAGGTGTTGGACTGGCCGACTTGAGATTCAAGGAACGCCGTTTCGAACCCCACCTATTGTTCCCACCGCTGCAACTCCTTTGTGTCCAGGATCTACAGCTTAACCACCAATAAAAACCCAACCAGTGAAAGTCAAGTTTGTCCCGGGGGAAAGTTAAACTGTCATTCGACCCGCAACGAAAATAATCAAAAGAACATAAGAGGAGTTCGAAGTTAAGGTTAAAAATGTTGTAAACTGACAAATAATTGGGTTTTCAGAACTAGAATGACAGAAACAACCAACAATTAAAGAAAACTCTTTACTTAGCACCGTTACCAATCAATTTGTGGCATAATTCAATTAAAGATTAATAAGGACATTAATCTATAATTTAGAGCTGACTTTGACAAACGACAATCGTCAAAATGGAACACACAAACCGAGTGTGAGGGTTGCTATCTTTCCGAATTTTCTGGGACTTTTCCCAGTTTTGAGTGTTCGGACTAAATAAGAAAGACTCATCCAACTATCAGGGTAAGCAATGAACGCGGGTAGAACAGGACCGGTCGTTGTGGAAATCCTTGGGGGAGACCTTTGTCCAGCAATGGACATCATTAAAATTATAATCGGACTTGGCACTTATCCACAAACTAGACGCTTAATAAAATGGCCTAGCAAATTTCTTTGCTGAAACCTGAAAATAATATAATGGTGAATGATAAAATTTTGCATTTATTCGTGTATTACAGTGTTACATACAAACAATGTTTTTCAGAGGTGTTCAGGAAAATTCTTAATTTCACGGTTATGTCCGGAACATTCGAAATTATGTCCGGTTATTGCTGAAATGATGGTAGCCCTACTCGAGACACCACTTTTATTTTTAGCTGGAAAAAAACTTTCACCAAACAATGACGTCCGAAGACTTCGTGTTCAATTATTACACACAGAAATAGTAGTTGTTAATTGGTTAGTACATTAGTCTATTATTGGGGTACACTTTTTCTGTAATTCATTGATTGTAGAGTCGACAGCATCAGACTAAACATTTTTTGTAGCACATGCACTCCTACATCTAGGATACATAAGATCGTAGAGCTGATGGCCGTTGGGGCAGAAAGTTCTCGAGTGGTGACCACGGGAAGACGTAGCGTGGGCAGGCCCCCCATTAGGTGGACCGACGACCTGGTGATGGATGGTCGCTAGAAAAACCTGGATGCGGGCAACACAGGACGGGTCGTTATGGAAATCCTTGGGGGAAGCCTTTGTCCAGCAGTGGAGGTCATTTGGCTGAAACAACAAACATAATGTTACATTTTGTTGATACGATAGACTCCTGTAAGTACCTACCTACTTACTGCCTTAGCAGCGCGTTGGCGCCACTGTCTTCGCCACTAGCAAGTGACTTCTCAAAACCAAGTTCTTGCCAAAATAAAAGAAGAGTGCTAAAACGATAGCCATCATTGCTGTTTTTGTACTTTAGTAAACCATTACCTTTCTTCTTGAAGTAAGTTAATAACCACAGATATCTGTGAGGATAACCAATTTTTTTAAGGATGAATTAACCTCGTAAATGTTCAATTTACGTAGTTGTCAAACGGCTGTCAATGTCAATATTGTCAATCAGCTGTCAGTCAAGTAAACAACAGGCGAGTGAGCGGTGTGTACCAAAAAAACGCATTTTTTGAGAAAATTTCCCTAAAAAATGGCCCAAGAACCACATGAACGGAAAAAGAAACAAATTTTAAGCAAAGAAGAACTACTGCAACTGGATAAAGATGTATTTAAATTATAAAAATTGCATCAGATTAAGATAACCTGTTGCCAAATGTTTACAGTGAATATTCTTTAATTTTACAGGATTTAGTGGAAAGAATTATAAAATTAGAATGCCATAATAAACAACTCAAAGATATTCTTGCCAAAAGTACCACTGAGAGCGTTGAGTTGAAAAAAAAAGCAAGAAGAAGTTTTGATTTTTCCAAGTAAGTTTTGTGAACTTTTTTATTCACTAAGTTTTCTTAAAGCTAGAAGAAACACAGAAACAACTTATAAACGTATGGATTAATTTGAATGTCTTAATTTCGAATTCGTTGGCACAAAATTACTACCAATTTTATTGAAATAATCTATATATATAAAAGAAAGTCGTGTTAGTTACTCCACTTATAACTCAAGAACGGCTGAACCGATTTAGCTGAAAATTGTCAGGGAGGTAGTTTAGAGCCAGGAGAAGGACATAGGATACTTTTTATCCCGTTCGAAATTAAAAAAAAGTCTGCTTATTTATTGCCATTAAGGCGGAACAAAGTTCGCCGGGTCAGCTAGTAATTAATAAATGCAATCAATTTCCACCCACAAGGTGAACCGACGACCTCGTAAAAGTAGCAGGAAGGCGCTGGATGCAGGCTACCAACCGGTCACTATGGAAATCATTGGGGGAGGCCTATGTTCAGCAGTGAACGTCCTGAGGCTGAAATGATGATGAAATGCAATTTTGAATTGATACTTTAATGCCCCAACTCCCAAACACTAAAAATATACAAGTTTAACTTGACAGATGTCACTACCGTCGAGTCTTACTTCGCATAATGTACTTCGGATGGGACTACCAAGGTCTAGTAACGCAAGACTTCACGACTCAGACGATAGAGCACCATCTCTTCCATGCGTTGATTAAAGCTTGCCTGATCGAGAATAGGGAGACGTCAAACTATCATCGGTGTGGCAGAACCGATAAAGGTGTCAGTTCGTTTGGGCAGGTAAGATTTGTCTATGTGAGACTTATTTACTACTGAAGCCTGGTCCGTGAGCAGGTAGAATTTTGTCCAATGACCCCAAGCTACCCATCCTTATCGCACACTCACTGCGGGCGCCTGTCGCACAGTCGCGACAGCAATATAATTACGCGCGAGCGATAAGGATGGGTAGCTTGGGGTCATTGGACAAAATTCTACGTGCTCACGGACCAGGCTTTAGCTGCCGCCCGCTTGAATGGATCCCGTTTTACCCCCTTAGATTTTTACCTGCGCCATTTTTATGCAGATACTTAAAGTTATGTAAAAACTAATGCACAACTCACGACGCGGTTTTCATCCGCAGCGGGCGCGGCAGAATCGGGCGGGCCGCGGTAACCGCAGCCTCGGCGGTTTTCGACCGCGCGAAAACCGCCCGATCGGCGGGCGACCATTCTGTACCAGTGACTTAGTGCGCGGCGCGATTTTCACCAGCAGCCGCGGCGGGCGGGGATGAAAATCGCGCCGTGAGTTCTTAGAATAACCTTGTAAATAACCGCTCCCGTGAGTTTTGAAATAAAACCGCAATTCCACAACCGCCGCGGGCGCGGGTGAAAATAGCGCGGTGAGTTCTTAGCCTTAGGGGTTGAATTTTGCAAAATCCCGCCTTAGTGAGCAAAGAAAGGTTGTTACCCCAAGAATGTGTCTTTAGAAGAATCCAGTGTCTCTTCTTAAAACGACAGGTAGTTACGCTGGAGCCAATTTTTATGGTTTTAAAACTATTAAATTGAGATTAATCGCTATCTATTGGTTAAAGAGGACATGTGAGATCATTATTTGGTTTTATAGCCACAAAAATTGGTGTAAATATAGTCCCAGAGGTGAGGCACAACATTGGCTTTTTTCAAGCACATTTACGGTACATGTTAATCGCAATTAATAAAATAAAATTATTTTTTCTTGATTGAAGTTTATGTATTAGGCTTTCAAATAACACCAATATTGATGGAGAACCATGTTTGTGTTAGAAGAAAAGCTTCAAAGTAATCGCAGGAGGTGCGATTTATTTGACGCCGAGTGTATTTAAAGGTAGTCTTTCGAACTAAGCGTCACAGACGCAGCGTCTTTAGCTTTGGTCTTTAGCTTTGGTCTTTAGTGCCACCAACGCCGCGACAGTGTCGCTCCGTTCGAACTACGTTCCCTAGAACTTCATACATTTGCATAGAACATCTATTTGTCGCTCTGTCGCGGCGTCACAGTCTCGGCGCCACTGACGCTATAGAGTCTATAGCAGTCTTTCCCAAAGTGGGCGATAACGCCCCCTTGTGGGCGCTGCAGGCTAAAAGGGGGGCGGTAAGAGAAGGGCAAAAAAAAATCGGGACGTTGTGTAGAGGCTTGGGAGGCGTCATTTACTAGGAGGACTCTTAGACACCGACTGAGCACTCGACACTCGACTACAAATGGGGGCGCTAGAAAGAATTTATTCTCAAAGTGGGCAGTAGACAAAATAAGTTTGGGAACCGCTGGTCTATAGCGTCATTGGCGCCGAGACTGTGACGCCGCTATAGTATAGACGCTCGCTTCGAAAGGCTACCTTAAGTGTGATCTATTTCTTCCAGGTAATATCAATCAGTCTACGCAGTAAGCATCCTCCGAAGACCCAACACGAACAAAACTCCATCAACTCCGAGATGCAGTACTGCAAGATCCTCAACCGGTTACTGCCAGATAACATCAGAGCAGTGGCCTGGATGCCGATACCTGAAGATAGAACTGAGTACAGTGCGAGGTAGGTTTTTATAATCTTTATTATAAGTATAGTGCTTAATGAGGGCTATCGTTTTAGCGCTCACCAGTTAGCGCCACTGTAGAGTAAGGTCCTGTCACTTGCTAGTAGCGAAGACAGTGGCACCAACTGGTGAGCGCTACAGTGGTAGGAAGACTATCGCATTTGCACTCATCATGATGGCGCCACTGTAGAGTAAGGTCCTGTCAATCGCCAGGGGTGCCAACTGTTAAGTATAAAAACGATAGCCCTCATTGAGTCAGTGCCAGAGGTATGTGAGTGGCATGGGAGGAGTGACATTGACATAAAATATTATGACGTGACAGAGCACACAATCTGAATCTGAAGTGCTGAAAAGTCTTGCTTGCTAACTACACTCGGCATCAAATAAATCGCACCTCCCGCGACAAGCACTTATCAAACGTATGCATCCCCACTTCCCACCAACGTTGGTACCATTTGAAGCCTAGTTCTAAACTTCATTTCATTAAAGGAAAGGTTTTTACCCCAAAAATGTGTCTTTACAAGGATCCAGAGTCACTTCTTCAAAAAATAGGTAGTTACGCTATAGCCATTTTTTATGACTATAAAACTGTTAAGTTGGGATTAATCGCTATCCATCTGTTAAAGAGGACACGTGACATCTTTATTTGGTTTTATAACCATTAAAATTGGTCTAATTGATCCCAGAGGTGAGCCCAAAGTGAGGTCTATTTTCAAGTCACATTTATGGTATATATTAATTATTTATTTAGAAATGAAATGTATTTTTCTTTAAGAATATTTATTGGGCTTTCAAATAACACCAATATTGTTGGGGTACCATAATTGTGTCAGAAGAAAATCTTTAAAGTTCGCGTCGCAGAAGGTGCGGTTTATTTGATGTTGAGTGTATATTATAAATCTGTCAGTACAAAAAACCAGCCGGTTGTTATGGAAATCATTGGGGGAGGCCTATATTCAGTTGTGGACGTCCTATGGCTGAAATGATGATGATTTTGCCGATTTTTGTCTCCTTTCTGCCACTCATAAATTAGAGAAGGTCGTCCTGCAGTGGATACTAAATAAATCTGATCATTATCTAAATGAATTTTACTTATTTTCAAGGTTCGACTGTAAAAAACGCACCTACAAATACTTCTTCCCGCGCTCGTCGCTTGACATATCAGCAATGAGACACGCGTGCGCGCTACTAGTTGGATCGAAGGACTTCCGCCATCTTTGCAAGATGGACGTCGGAAATGGCGTCGTTGAGTTTGTCCGGGAGATACTGAGGGCGGAGATATTTCCGGTTGAGGATGAAGGAGAAGAACGTAAGTCACTAAAGGTTAAAAAGACTTACTCTGACCGACTGGCGCGATGGCGGTCTGACTTACTACTGACTGGCTCACTTACTGACTGACTGACTCACTTACTGACTGACTGGCTCACTTACTGACTGACTGGCTCACTTTCTGACTGACTCACTTAGGTACTACTGACTGGACCACTTACTACTGGTTGACTGACCCACTTACTTGATTACTGATTGGCCGAATTCCTCATGGATAAGAGCATATGATTACCGACTATTGTCAGATCTACTAAAATAATAACTGACTAATGGTCAAGTAGTCGCTTGACATATCAGCCATGAGACACGCGTGCGCGCTACTAGTTGGATCGAAGGACTTCCGCCATCTTTGCAAGATGGACGTCGGAAATGGCGTCGTTGAGTTTGTCCGGGAGATACTGAGGGCGGAGATAATGCCAGTTGAGGAAGAGGGAGATGAACGTAACTCACTAGGTCTGAGAGACTTACTGACCGACTGGCGGTCTGACTAACTAGGTACTGACAGGCTCACTTACTACTGACTGACTGGCTTACTTGCTGACCGACTCACTTACTGACCAACTCACTTTTTTGGGATGGACTGTCCCGCTGAAGCGCGCAGGGCGCCACGCAGTGATTCTGACTTACTTACTATTGACTAACTGACTTTCTTACTTACTTAAACGTATTAACTGACCAACTTGCTTATAGAGTGACTGGATCTTTAACCTAAGGAAGGATTCAGCTGTTTCCCCCTGGAAGTCGTTTTTAAGAAGCTATCTGACCTAAAAAATCTGACTTGTGTGTTTGCAATATTTATATTCCACTAGCGGCCGCCCGCGACTTCGTACGCGTGGATCCTGTTTTACCCCCTTTTCCCGAATTTTCTTTGCTATAAACCTCACGGAGCCCGAGACCTTTCCAACGAATGCAAAACCGTGGAAATCGGTTCGTGCGTTCTGGAGTTATAGCGTCAGGGAGGAAAACCCGACTTATTTTTATATATTCCATAAATGTATTCTATAATATCCGGTCCTGTGCTGCCCGCATTCAAATACTTCCCACGAGCTTCACCAGATCGTCGGTCCACCTATGGTCTGGTCTGTGAGCACGTAGAATTTTGTCCAATGACCCCAAGCTTGCACACTCACCGCGCCCGTCGCACAGTCGCGACAGCAATATAATTACGCGCGAGCGATAAGGATGGGTAGCTTGGGGTCATTGGACAAAATTCTACGTGCTCACAGACCGGGTATTAGTAGGATCGTCTGCCCACACTACGTTTTATTGGAAACCCTTGCCCCCTTGGAGGATACCTCTGTCCAGCAGTGGACGTTATTTGGCTGAAACGAACGAATGTATTGTTACAGCAACAACCATGTACTACTTACTGATAGAAGGCAACGCGTTCCTTTGGCACCAAATCCGGTGCATCATGGGGGTTCTACTCCTGGTAGGGCAAGGAAAAGAACAGCCTGACGTCATCAACCAACTGCTGGATGTCGATAAATACCCTAGGTAAGTGTTCCCAGAACGGGACTATTCCCACCTCTCTTTCCCACCGCTGCAACTCCTGTGTAGCCAGGATCTACAGCTTGACCGCCAATAAAAACCAACCAGTAAGTATTCCCAAAAGAAAATAAAAATAAAATCATCATCATTTCAGCCACAGGACGTTCTTAGGTCATGAACATAGGTCTCCCCCAATGATTTCCACAATGGCCATCAAGCCATCATCAACGTCATCATAGGTCAGGGGTGGCGAACTAATGGCACGCATGCCATTGATGGCACGCACCACAATATTTAGGGCACACCAATCAAAAAATTCACTATGAAATAAAATCTATACTTTACTAACTGAAGAGTTTATTTATTTTAACGAGCTAATCTCAGAAACTACTAGTCCGATTTGAAAAAAAATTGTGTAGGATAGCCCATTTATCGAGGACGGCTTTAGGCTACATACTATAATATCACCCTACAGCCAGTAGGGGTGGAGCATTAAAGACAAATGTTGCAAAAACGGGAAATATCAAACTATTTTCACGCGTACGAAGTCGCGGGCACAGCTAGTAGTAAATAAAGTGTTTTGAATAAGGGCTTTCGTGTTTGCCCTCATCAGTTCACTTCACTCACTGTAGAGTAAGGTCCTTTCCGTCGCTAGTGGCTAAGGCAATGCCGTCAACTGATGAGGGCTAAAAGGGTAGAAAAACTGAATCGAAATCTTTTGAGTGGCACCTCTGTAGAGTCCTGTCACTCACCAGTACGCCACTTGTGATACCCCTCATTGATATCATTAAGCGTTATTTGGCACATCTGTCTGTGACAAAGTGGCACGTTGATATAAAAAGGTTCGCCATCTCTGTCATAGGTTAACGTCATAACGCTTAACTGGATTAGTGCCTCAGGTATAGGAGGTACGGGAGGGTATTGTATGTCCGTACCAGAGCGGCGATGTGACGTCACAGCTGCCAGGTGCACTGTTAACTCGACCGGATTACAACTAATGGTCATCATCATCAGCATCATTTTAGTCAATGGCAGTCTACAGCTATAGTCTGGTCGCCGAGCATGTAGAATTTCGTCCGATGACCCCAAGCTACCCATCCTTATCGCTCGCGCGTAATTATATCTGTCGCGAACTACGGGCGCCGCAGTGTCTGTGCGAGCGCGACAGCAACATAATTACGCGCGAGTGATAAAGATCGGTAGCTTGGGGTCATTGGACAAAACTCTACGTGCTCGGAGACCGGGCTTTAGACGTAAGATTTCGAGAGCACACCTTTTTATTCACTCATTTGCTCATTATAGGTAAAAGTTTACCCATCATTGTCAATAGGCATACCCAGCTTCTGAACTAAAGGGGGGGGGGGCAAAAAGTTGGCAATATAACCTTATTCCAATTTGTAACAAAAACGTGTTACGAACTTTTTGGCTACTTTGGGTGTCACGAATTATTTGACGCTGACTGTACTCTGAAACTAACATCCGTATTCACAAACATTACTATAACGTCTCACAGTGCGCGTGGACGCACAGGGTGACACACGAACCAATCACAGGGCTCTATTCAACGCTGTGCGTTCGATTTGCTGCTTCACTTGCATGCATCGTTTGTAAATACGGGCGTAACATTATTTTGTTTTGTTCACAGAAAACCCCAATACAACATGGCGTTAGACGTCCCTCTAAATTTATATCATTGTACCTACGAATTGGAACAAGAAAAACAGTGGGTTTACGAGAAAGACGAGTTAAAACACCTCATCAAGCATTTGCAAAACGAATGGACTATACAAAATATCAAGTAAGTTGTCATCATCATCATCATTTCAGCCACAGGACGTCCACTGCTGAACATAGGCCTCCCCCAATGATTTCCATATTGATCGATTGGTAGCGGATTGCATCCAGCGCCTTCCTGCTACCTTTATGAGGTCGTCGGTCCACCTTGTTAGTACGTACTACGCTGCGTTTTCCGGTACGCGGCCTCCACTCCAGAACCTTGCTGCCCCATCGGCTATCAGTTCTGCGTACTATGTGCCCTGCCCATTGCCACTTCAGCTTGCTAATCCGTTGGGCTATGTCAGCGACTTGATTTCCTCATTTCTGATTCGATCACGTAAAGCGACTGTGCGACGGGCGCCCGCAGTGAGTGTGCGAGCGCAACAGCAACATTATTACGCGCGAGCGATAAGGATGGGTAGCTTGGGGTCATTGGACAAAATTCTACGTGCTCGCAGACCAGACAGGTTAGGTAGCGCTTATAAGAGTCAGTGCCTGAGGTTATAGTAGGGGCACGGGAGGGTGATTTTGTAACGACAACGTCGAGACTTCAGATTTGTATGTTCTGTCACATCATGCTAGAGTTATAAAGGGTGTCCCAAAATTAACGAAACTTTTGAATTAACTAGAAAACATAGTTTTTAACCTTTTGATTGTATTATTTTTATTGAATCATAAAGTACATAGAATAGGGTTATTTATGGAATAACACATCGGGCAAATGGTACGCACGCAGCAACGCATTCGTTTGTCGAAATTTCCCATTTAGTTATTCTTTTTGCTTCCAGAACAACAATGATAAAGGACTCCCTGCGAGTATTAGAAGCAGAATACAGAAAGATGTGTCAAAATGACGCAAATGAAAAATGTGAGGAAAGAATCGTTGCATACGCTGACTGCTTGTTGCAAGGTGTCAAACCGAGGGTGTACACTCCTTTGATGAAGAGGCAGACATGTTGTAAGTAACCCACAACTATAGTTGGTAACTACACTCGCGAGCAAAACTATGGAATCACTTACATGAAGTTGTTTCCACGCGAACTTGTGTACTAACGAATTTGTTAGTAACAAAAAAAGTGGCACCATTTTAAAGATTAAACATTATCTTTAAATTGATACCAAATTCATTTAAATCACACCAGTATTTAAAAAGATATCCCGGCTGATGTGAAAAAGTAACGAAAAAGACATGTATGAACTGTTTGATACGTCGCGAGTTGCGGCCTATTTAGCCCCTATAAAAGCACGCGTTTTTAGATTTTTGCTTTCACACGTTGATTCATACACATCTCCGCTTCTTTTGACACTTTACCTGGGATTCTACACCTTCAGAAGCAGCACAAATCGTTGCACTATTGCAAGAAAGGCTCAGCCAGCGGGCTGTCGCACGTCAGCGCCACATAAGCCAGTCCTGGGTTTCGAAAGTTTCAAGACGCTTTCGGGAGACTGGTGGCTTTATCCCGAGACCAAGTTCTGAACAGCGCCGGCGCACATCGCAGAGGGAAGACCGTTTTTTCATGTCAACCTCTCTATGAAATCGTCATTTGACTGGAATCGATGTCCATCAAGAGCTCAGAAATGTTCGTAAGATAGCTGTTAGCGAGTGGACAGTTCGTCTAAGATATAAGCAATAGAATTTGACTCCAAAAAGGCCTGCCACAGGCTCGAAGCTGACGGCAGGTCACCGATAAGCACCCTTTCAATTTGCTCGTACACATCTCGATGGGAAGGCGAGTAATGGAGGCGAGTTCTGTTCTCCTACGAACATTTCTGAGCTCTTGATGGACATCGATTCCAGTCAAATGACGATTTCATAGAGAGGTTGACATGAAAAAACGGTCTTCCCTCTGCGATGTGCGCCGGCGCTGTTCAGAACTTGGTCTCGGGATAAAGCCACCAGTCTCCCGAAAGCGTCTTGAAACTTTCGAAACCCAGGACTGGCTTATGTGGCGCTGACGTGCGACAGCCCGCTGGCTGAGCCTTTCTTGCAATAGTGCAACGATTTGTGCTGCTTCTGAAGGTGTAGAATCCCAGGTAAAGTGTCAAAAGAAGCGGAGATGTGTATGAATCAACGTGTGAAAGCAAAAATCTAAAAACGCGTGCTTTTATAGGGGCTAAATAGGCCGCAACTCGCGACGTATCAAACAGTTCATACATGTCTTTTTCGTTACTTTTTCACATCAGCCGGGATATCTTTTTAAATACTGGTGTGATTTAAATGAATTTGGTAACAATTTAAAGATAAAAGTTTAATCTTTAAAATGGTGCCACTTTTTTTGTTCCTAACAAATTCGTTAGTACACAAGTTCGCGTGGAAACAACTTCATGTAAGTGATTCCATACTTTTGCTCGCGAGTGTAGTAGCTCAAGAAACCATGAAGAAAGTAGGTAAAGTCCGGTCGCCGAGCTGATAAAATTTTGTCCAATGACCCCAAGCTACTCATCCTTATCGCTCGCGCGTAATTATATTGCTGTCGCGACTGTGCGACGGGCGCCCGCAGTGAGTGTGCGAGCGCGACAGCAACATAATTACGCGCGAGCGATAAGGATGGGTAGCTTGGGGTCATTGGACAAAAATCTACGTGCTCACCACAGACCAGACTATACCTGCAAGCCAAATTTCAGCCCGATCCGTCCAGTGGTTTGGGCTGTGCGTTGATAGATCACTATGTCAGTCAGTCAGTCAGTCACCTTTGAGTTAGATATATTTAGATTAGATGTGTCAATATCACCCCTCACGTGCCGCTCCCATGCCTCAGGCATTGGGTGCGTTTGGCGGAAAATAGAATTTGTAAGCGATTATAAAAATGGCGACCGCCATGGCAACTGCTGAAAACTTTCGGCTGTTTTCGGCGAGGACACGTTTGCTAACTTCAATAGTGACGTGTTTTATTCAATTTTTTTGCAGCAACAGTAGCCTTATTCACGTAACAAAACTTCAACGACAACAAAACACTGAGTTGCGATCCTATCGAGTAATCGTTCTATCAAATGACCCTTGTGAATACGGATTTAGAACTGTTTTTCAATAGGACGACTTCTGAACGTCAGCGAGATCTTGACTGTCGAAATACGTGAATTAGGCCACAGGGCTTAGCGATCGCCATTTTGCTTGTATAGTCTGGTCCGTGAGCACGTAGAATTTTGTCCAATGACCCCTTGCTACCCATCCTTATCGCTCGCGCGTAATTATATTGCTGTCGCGACTGTGCGACGGGCGCCCGCAGTGAGTGTGCGAGCTCACGGACCGGGCTTTAAACACTTACAACTTCTATTTTCCGCCAAACGCACCCAATGACTAAGTTAAGAGCTAGACCTTTATGAATATGCTCAAAAAGGCACTTTGAAATGATTTTTCATTTGTATATTTTTGTTGCAGCAAGTTTAGAAGAAAGAATAGAACATTATAAGAAGAAAAGAAAAGAAGTGGATATAACGGAAACTGAATGAGTTACTAAAATATAGTTTTAGTATAATTTTTTTATGAATAAATCTTAAGAATCGTATTGAGAGTATTTTTTTTATATTAGACTTTAAAAAAGCGCAAACAATAATGTTGCCAGTGCTGAGAAGAAGCAGCGCAAGAAACTCAGTCTTAAGCCGTAGGCGCAGACCACCGGCTTTTAGTTGGCCGATAGTTGGGCCCAAATCCAATTCTAATTTGTATGAACAATCGGCCGAAAGTGTGCGTACTTTCATACATCTCCGTACTGATCAACAGCCCGACCCAACTATGGGCCAACTAAAAATCGGTGGTCTACGTCACAGAATAAGTAATAGTACAGGTACAGAAGGTTTACTCCGCAAGACGATTTAAATAAATGCGAGTCTTGCTACGACGCGATACAGTGGAATTCAGCTCGCACAGCACTACGTACCTACAATTTTATTCACCTACAAGTTTTGTCTCTTTCTATCGCGTGCCTCTGAACTCTTCTTACGCTGTTAGGGTTGCTGTCTGGTAGTGTCTAGTAAAAAAATACTTAATATACTTATTTGTAATGAGGTACGTATGTAGGTAAGTACGCATTCATTATGGAAAACCTTGGGAGAGGCCTTTGTCCAGAAGTGGACGTCATTAATTTGCTGAAACGAACGAACGCATTCTGAGCAGTAGTCATGGTAGGTTAGGTTCCTATACTATCCTAAGAATTATTGATTACCTACATGGCCAACATACCTTTCAGCATCTTTGGGAAGCGAAAAAAGAGATAAATCCGGTAGATTTCTTTTCGAATTTAAACACCCGAACGCCGTACAATAATATTTATTTCTATTTACGTCCATTTTGTAATAATACTTCGATCATAGAATTAGGTACTACAACGCACGCCAGCGTCCTGACGAGCGCGCGCGTGACACTCGACTGATATAATATCCGCCGGCGGGGCGCTGCGCTATAGGTAATTATCGGATGTACCGCGCGGAGTGAGCCAGAGCCCCGATTACGGTAACTTTTATTAACGTCTACAATCCAGACGCGTTTCTGATTCTGCGATACGATTGGTCAAAACAGCTGACGCACGCTGTTGAACGACCAATCGTATCGCAGAATCGAGAAGCGTGTCTGGATTGTAGACGGTAAAGTTACCGTAATCGGGGCTCAGGCCTGTCTACGTCTAGGCTAAGATGAGTACCTATAGACTAGACTAGAACATTTACTTGTAACAGAACAACAACTTTCACGCACCAATCGTACATTTTACCTGTATTATACCATTCGTAAGAACGTCCTTTACATAGAAATGCTCTACTAGCCTATACTCACCTTCAAATTCTACAAGTTTCACTTTCATTTGTTTGTGAGCAATAACACAAATCTACGTATTGTTGCTGTTCATTTTCTATCAGGCGTTGATACTCATGGTTCGCTCAAACTTACTTTCGCACTTGCATGTTATTAAACCTATATCCTTCCATGGGAAAGTTGTTTAGTTAAATAGCACTATGTATTAATATTGTTCAGCATACATTTTACATTCACGCTTGCATTTAACGCGATATTCTTGGGAGAAAGTCGTACCATAAAGTAACACCCTGCTGTATTATGACGATTGTAAATATTGTATTAAACTTTTCAAAGCAAAACAGAGCGCCTCACTATGGAGCGAAATTGAGATTTATGGACATAGCGATTTTTTTCACAATTTCTATTTGAAAAAAATACCTATCGATAGGTTACGTTATTCTGATGAATAAATGCTTCACAAGTTTTTCTCTAAAACCAATAGTTTGACTGGAAAAAAATATTTTCCATTTTCGTTGTATGGAATGAAACATAAAGTGGTCGATTTCGACTAAGCCTTGACAGATCTTGCTTTGAAACTACTTAAGCCTTGTTCTATGGCTTGTTGACTGTAATCCTACGCTATCAGCGCGCATCCAAAGTTGCCCGTTCACAAGTTATGAGGTTCTGAAAAATTAAAAAAAAGTAAGTAAAAGTGACTTTTTTTTGGAATATCTTTAAAGATTTAACAAAAATATAAAGATTTTATACGTTAATAATGTAAATTAACCTTAAATTACTGCTAAAAACACATTTTAATAAACTTAAAAGGAATTAAATCAGCGATTTTTTTTTCACAATTTCTGTTTAAAAAAAATACCTGTCGATAGGGTATGTTATTCTGATGAATAAATATTATGAACGTTTTTCTCTAAAACCAATAGTTTGGCTGGAAAAAAATATTTTCCATTTTCGTTGTATGGAATGAAACATAAAGTGGTCGATTTCGACTAAGCCTTAACAGATTTTGCTTTGAAACTACTTGAGCCTTGTTTTATGGCTTGTTGACTATAATCCTGCAAAAACAGCGCGCGCCCAAAGTTGCCCGTTCAGAAGTTATGAGGTTCCAAAAAATGAAAATTAAAGTAAGTAAAAGTATCTTTTTTTGGGTATAAATCTTTAAAGATTCAACTAAAACATGAAAATTATATACTTTAGTAATGTAATTAACCTTTCTCTTGTCGTCTTATCTAAAGAAAAGTCAATTTTACTTACTTTACTTTTCATTTTTCGGAACCTCATAACTTCTGAACGGGCAACTTTGTGCGCGCGCTGTTAGTCTAGGATTATAGTCAACAAGCCATAGAACAAGGCTCAAGTAGTTTCAAAGCAAATCTGTCAAGGCTTAGTCGAAATCGACCACTTTATGTTTCATTCCATACAACGAAAATGGAAAATATTTTTTTCCAGCCAAACTATTGGTTTTAGAGAAAAACGTTCATAATATTTATTCATCAGAATAACATCCCTATCGACAGGTATTTTTTTTTAACAGAAATTGGAAAAAAAAATCGCTGATTTAATTCCTTTTAAGTTTATTAAAATGTGTTTTTAGCAGTAATTTAAGGTTAATTTACATTATTAACGTATAAAATCTTTATATTTATGTTAAATCTTAAAAGATATTCCAAAAAAAAGTCACTTTTACTTACTTTTTTTTAATTTTTCAGAACCTCATAACTTGTGAACGGGCAACTTTGGATGCGCGCTGATAGCGTAGGATTACAGTCAACAAGCCATAGAACAAGGCTTAAGTAGTTTCAAAGCAAGATCTGTCAAGGCTTAGTCGAAATCGACCACTTTATGTTTCATTCCATACAACGAAAATGGAAAATATTTTTTTCTAGTCAAACTATTGGTTTTAGAGAAAAACTTGTGAAGCATTTATTCATCAGAATAACGTAACCTATCGATAGGTATTTTTTTCAAATAGAAATTGTGAAAAAAATCGCTATGTCCATAAATCTCAATTTCGCTCCATAGTGCGCCTATGCTTTGATTTAAAATACCTACATACCTAATTTTCGGTTTTCCTCGCTGTCCTGAAAACTCAAAAGTTTGAATTAAGTAGGAATTACTTAGTAGGTTCTTAATTTGCTGCTTGCTTAGCGACCAAAGGTGTTAAAAATGCGCATTATACCTACTTACGACCTAAGGATGAGCAGCATTAAGTACTAATTATTTACTTAATTGAGTCAGTTAGTTTTTACATTCTTACGTCCTCTACGGATATGGATAGGTTAAGGTCATTGTGCCATAAACACGCAACAAGCGGCCAACACAGCCTCAAACAGTAGCGAGAGCGATTTGTACCCTAATTGTCCCATAATTATATTGGCATTGTAAGCATATTCAACTTAATCCGACCCGTGGTTTAGTACGCTAACAAAACCGGCCGCGGCGAACGGTGGATGGCGCTTGGCGCTATTTTACTATCTCGAACTGCAAACCAGCAGTATTAGAAGGCCGCTACGGTCGGAAAGCGGTCTATCGCGCGAAACGATTTCAACACGATCAGTAATCAGGAATTTCCTGAAAACTTAACAAACGTTGCTCAAGAAAAACTAAACGCATTAATTCACTCAATTTTCGGCGACACCAAAACTTTTTTCGCCCAAACTTTTTTTTGATAGCCGGCCAAATTTAAAAGTCGTGCGACATGTGTTATCGCGTTGCAAACGGAGTGATATCTATTCAGTCGGTTATTGTAATTTTGACAGTTCAATGAAAATATTTACGTGACGTGACTTGGAAAACTTGTTGCTTTTTTGCGAAGTGAAAAATTACTATGAAAATACGAAATTAATCGGCAACAAATGGAATAATCAATTAATCCAAGTGTAAAACAAGTCGTGCTTCCTAAAAACTTGCTGAAAAGCGGATGATAATACAAAAAAGGTACGTATTTTACGACCAGTTACTGGACAATAAATTGTGGTGTAAAATAGTAAATTATTGTTATAAAACTGTTTTTGTTCTTCGTGCTACGCCCTAAATAGTGAATGGTCATGAATTGGCTTGCCTTTAACAGTTATGTCACCGATTATTCGCTCGCTGCGAACAAAAAAGTGGCGTGAATTGGATGGCGTTAAGGAAACCAGCAGTATAATTGTATTTTTCCACGAAAACAGGTGGTAATTAGGTTGTCTACGTTAAATTTTGAATGCAGCAATCAGTCAGGTGTAATAATATCCCTTGCAATTTGAAAAAATTGCTTAGTACATTTCCTATGAAACAAATACCCTCGGATCAAATATAATGAGTTCAGGAGAACAAAGTCCAGTGTATTTTCAGAGGTTTCTTTAGTATTAGATGTATCTGAAATCCTGAATACATAGTAGATCTTACATGTTATAAAGCCTTATGTAGCATTTCTCATTTAACATTTAAAGTTATGAAGTTTTTCAATGTCCGACGAGGTCAGTGATCGTCTAATGAAACTTTTTTAAATTTCTCGAAAAGTTGCCGAAAGTGTCATTTTAATATGACTGCAACATCATTATCTTTGTCTGAATAAGTATTCTGCATCAAACTAAGGTGACAATGCCCTTGGTGTCAATGTTGCACGATTTGAGGGTCAGTAGTCGAACCCTGTTGTCCGCTATATTGTGATGACCCAATGCTAGTCACAAGCGTAATAATAAAATATTATTTTGCTTAGCTAAAAGGTTTTAAAAGTAATTTTCTTTTAAATAAATTTATTTATTTATTTATTTATTTAATAGGACAACCAACAAGACATACACTGGAAGACAATAAATCTAGTTATGACTTTTCAACTTTATAACTTTTTAGTAAACTTAGTATGTTTATCTTGGTTTATTAATACTGACCTGTAATACATACCTAACTGTAGCTGTTTGTCCAGACAACCGCCTAATTTGCTATAATGATATTAAAGTAATTTTTGTTACGTTTATCATACTTATAGCATTATAATTTTTTTTTATTGTTTCAGATGTACAACCCCAAAACATGAAATCGAACGTTCACAACACAAAAACAAGAAATCCTAACATAGTCATGTAACTTTTGAAAACGTAGTGATAGTGGCCAGTAGTATTTTTTAATTTTATTCGTAATAATGTAAACTTAATGTAGTTTGTGTAAGGCCAGTACTAGAATATAAATATTTTTATACATTAATGTGTGACGGAGGAACGGATGCCTTTCTTGGACGGATTATGGTGTTTTCTTGTAAGTATTTATTTTGTATTTATACCATTAAAATTTCATATTTAATCAGAAATTAATGATTGTACCGAAAAGAAAAGGAGATGGTAGACTAATAGATCGTCATCTATACAAAAAAAAAAGTATCAGATACAAGTATTGTCTAAAAAATTTGATACACCCTGTATGCTTGATTTTTTTTAAATTTTTAAGAGAATCCTCTTTTTTTTGGCGTATATGGTAATACTCATTTTACAAACTAGTATTTTAAAAGTTTTTTAACAAGCGGTTGTGTGATTTGATTTATTAATCATGAATGATTTCAGCTACTTAACTATTTATTGTTTATTTGTTGCAGTTTACAAAAGAGGCTGATGCTGAGAATCGGTCAAAAGGCGCTTAATGGTTTACATGGTGAGATTTATTTACTTTTAAGCATATACTTACACACAGCTCGTAGAGACGATGGCCGTTGGGGCAGAATAGTGGCGACCATGGGCCGGAAGAGGTAGCGAGGGCAGGCCTCCCACTAGGTGGACCGACGATCTGGTGAAGTTCGCGGGAAGAACCTGGATGCGGGCAGCGTAGGACCGGTCATTATAGAATCCTTGGGGGAGGCGTTTGTCCAGCAGTGGACGTCTTTTGGCTGAAACGAACGAACGAAGCATATACATCTGGGGGCACGGCAGTGCCCCCACCAAGTCGAGCAAAAAAGCGGCACGGCCGTACCATCCTTTTCTCGAAGCAATTCAGGCCATTTTCGACTGCCTGTAACTTCGTTGTGGATAAAACTAGAAGGCTGAATTTTCATTAGCTATGCAGGCATTGTAAAGACACGGTATATTTAAAATTTCATTCAATTTGAACCAGTAGTTTAAGAATTATAACGGGTCAAAGTTACTTAATTTTGTCACTCACTGACTCACTGACTGACTCACTCACTGACTCACCGATCATCAAAACTCTAAGGCACTTCTAGCAGACCTAGAAGCTTCAAATTTGGAATATAAGTAGTGTTTGGTGTATGAATCAAGGAAAAACTAAAATATTTGGGGGCACGGTAGTGCAACCGCCAAGTCGAGTAAAATTTTTCAATTTCGGTCCAGTTTTCTAGATACATAACTGCTGTCTACAAAATACAAAAAGAAATGAGATCCCATCAAAAACAATACTTGTCAAAAAAACCAAGTCTCGCAACTCAGTTGTTCTACGGTAAAAAGTTGTGAGATCCATGTAATACCAAGTCCAGGCCAGGAAATCTTTAACGTTTTACATAAATATATTGACTTGGCCATCGCATGAAAACACGTGTAAATTAAATTATTTAGTGCGATGGCCAAGTCAATAATTTATGTAAAACGTTAAAGATTTCCTGGCCTGGACTTGGTATTACATGGATCTCACAACTTTTTACCGTAGAACAACTGAGTTGCGAGACTTGGTTTTTTTGACAAGTATTGTTTTTGATGGGATACTTAATTATAATAACACTCGCTGGACTTGGCAGAGCCGAATCCAGTCAGGTCGCAAGCGCCTGGAAGCGAGCAGTTTCGTAGGTTTGTCCAGCAGTGGTTGTCTTTTGGTTGAAAATATTTCTTCATTCTATTCATCATCATCATCATCAGGTGTCTAGTTTCCACTTATTATCGTGTCGACAACAAACCTACACAGCGTCGGCCCAAAACTCCGCCACAAGAATGGCGTTGTCAGTAGCCTTCATTAAATCTTCCTGCATGCAGTTGTTACCTATTCAACCACCTCGTTGTGTAGTGGTAAGACCTATCTGCTTCAGACCCAGAGGTTCCGGCTTCGATTCCATGTTGGGGCAGATGTTATTTTTTGGTTTGGTTGGTGGTAGGGCTTGTTTTAAGTCCGCCTGGCTAGCTACCACCATCTTACCTATGTATGTCGCCATAACAACAATGTCAACAGCATTGTGTTCCTGCAGTTGGAGGTAGGATAGCGTTCCTCTGTGATTGAGGATTCCGGGTGAAGCTCGCTTCCACCTTCGGCCTGATCCTCATTTTCTATCAGGCGAGAAGTAGACTAAAAGTTACCTCGTGCATAAAAAAATATTTATTTAAATTCTGATCTAATTTACTAACTTTGGAGCCGATCATCCATTAATTTTAATTGAATTACAGTTGCGATACTCGTTAAATGCGTTAAGGCCAAGTATGAATTCATACCAATTCATACCATACATATTAAAAACTAATAAAACATTTTGTTACAATATATCCCTTATATTCACTGGTATAGATGAGTCTATCTATAAGATTTAGGTTCAAATAAATGTCTGAGATTTGTTTATTCAGTCAAAAGTTCAAGTGACCGTAATGTGAGTGCGTTAAGAATATACAATTTGTGAATCCACCTCCTTAAGCTCAGTTAAGATGCGCGGTGATGGTTCACAAGGCCAGCGGGCGTGCCTCTAAGTGCAGCTTCTATCTAAGGCTGCGTTTCCACTAGAGATATGCTAGGATACGTAGCGAGTGATGTTACAACCTATGTTTTTCCTCCTGTCATCCGCTTTGCACTGGAGGGAAGTCTAATCTTAACTTCGAACTCCTATACTCTTCTGATTAAATTCTATGTGGGTGATTAATTTCGTTGCGGGTCCAATGACAGTTTAAACCCCTGGGACGACAATCTTGACCTTCACTGGTTGTGTTTTTATTGGCGGTCAAGCTGTAGATCCTGGCTATACAGGAGTTGCAGCAGTGGGAACGAGAGGTGGGAATAGTCCCGTTTCCTATTAGGAACGGAGACGTGCTTAAAGCACGTCACGTCTCTGATGGAAACGCAGCCTTAGTACTGCTTCTAAAGCCGAGTTTTTGTCGCCTTGTAGGTACGGCTGATCAAACTAAACATAATGGCATGTTTTGCAATTACAATAAGAGCTATTTTCCTACAAATATTATACAGGATGTTGATTTCAATCCTCGCCATATTTACACTCGACAGCAAATAAATCGCACCACCCGCGACGCGAACTTTAAAGATTTTCTTTTGACACAATAATGGTGCTCCAACAATATTGGTGTTATGTGAAAGCCCAATAAATATCCTTAAAGAAAAACACATTTAATTTCTTAATAAATGATAACATGTACCATAAATGTGACTTGAAAAAAGACCTCACTTTAGGCTCAACTCTGGGATCAATTAGACCAAATTTTATGGTTATAAAACCAAATAATGATCACACGTGTCCTCTTTAACAGATGGATAGCGATTAATCCCAACTTAACAGTTTTATAGCCATAAAAGTTGGCTCAAGCGTAACTATCTATTTTTTGAAGAAGTGACTCTGGATCCTTCTAAAGAAACATTTTTGGGGTAAAAACCTTTCCTATAATGAAATGAAGTTTAGAACTAGGCTTTTGAATGGTACCAATATTGGTGTGAAGTGGGGATGCATACGTTTGAAAGTGCTTGTCGCGGGTGGTGCGATTTATTTGCTGTCGAGTGTATTTAGGTGATCTATATGACTTAGACACCAAACGCATTATCCATAAAAAAAATTACAAACGAAAGTGGAATTTTTAGCGAATATTTTACTGAAGGAAGCCACGTAAAGTTGGTAGTGTAAAAGGTGTTTTTCTCTGACTAACTAAAATTAAAGTTCGTTTTAAGTTTTTTTCGAAGTCAATTTTTTACTGATTCGTGATCAGAATAAGTTACTTAATCAACTCCCTAAATATGACGAGGATTGAAATCAACACCCTGTATTTTGATGCGCTCGTAGTCGTCACGATTGTCTCACGTGCTGGAAAAGATGTACTTTGTAGTTTATGGACTGTTACTAAGGATCTTCTAGTAAAACATAACTCCTCTATAGTTCTACGGCTTAACCAGTTAAACTCAGTCAGTGCCTGAGGGTGAAATACGGGAGGGGTGACATTGACATAATAATATGACGTGACGGAGCATATAAATCTGAAGGAAATCTGACTGAAGTCTCGCTGACATTTGACCGTTACAAACACGCGTATTCACAAACGATGCTTGCTTAACTGAAGCAGCAAATCGAAAGCACAGCGTTGAATAGAGCTCTGTGATTGGTTCGTGTGTGACCCTGTGCGTCCACGCGCACTGTGAGACCTCATAGTAACGTTTGTGAATACGGGCGTATAACTGATGGTCATTTATCATCTGTTTTGTACTGGAGAGAAGACGACCCATCTTCGAACTCCAAATTTTCTATGCGGGACCAATGACAGCTTAACTTTCCCCAACACAGACAAACTTGGCTTTCACTGGTTGGGTTATTGGCGATCAAGCTGTAGATCCTGGCCACACAGGAGTTGCAGCGGTGGGAACGAGAGGTGGGAATAGTTCCGTTTCTTAAGCACGTCACGTCTCTGATGGAAACGCAGCCTAAATGCTGCTTTTAGAAGTTTTTGTCGCCTTGTACGGCTGATCAAACTAAACATTATAGCATGTTTTGCAATTGCAATAAGAGCTATTTTCCTACAAATAATATATTTTGATGTGCTCGTAGCCGTCACGATTGTCTCACGTGCTGTTAAAGGTGTACTTTGTAGTTTATGGACTGTTACTACTTCTTAGTCCTAGCGCTCAGTCAGTACCTGAGGTATGGGAACGGTACGGGAGGGGTGACATCGACATAATAATATGACGTGACGGAGCATATAAATCTGAAGGAAATCTGACTGAAGTCTCGCTGACATTTGACCGTTACAAACACGCGTATTCACAAACGATGCTTGCTTAAGTGAAGCAGCAAATCGAACGCACAGCGTTGAATAGAGCTCTGACGCCCGTATTCACAAAAGATGCTTTCTTAGGTGAAGCAGCAAATCGAACGAACGCACAACGTTGAATAGAGCTCTGTGATTGGTTCGTGTGTCACCCTGTGCGTCCACGCGGACTGTGAGACCTCATACTCATAGTAATGTTTGTGAATACGGGCGAAAAACACCCTCCTCGCTCAAAGTCAAAGTCAAAGTCAAAATTTCTTTATTTGTTTAGACTAATAAATAGTTCTTACAAATCGTCATTTTGCTCTTAAGGAGCCTCGACATGTCTCATAATCTTTTTACCCTACCAGCGCTTCGAGACCAACATTTGGCAAGTGCTGAGAAGAAGCGCCGCAACAAACTCAGTCACCACTGTCTGCCGGTTAATATAAATAAATAGAAATAGCAGTAGTAGGTACATTCGATTCAGGAGCAGTTCACTGAATTTACCATGCATTCTTGTATGGTGTATCATAAGAATGGGTATACAAGATTGCGTGGTATATTAAACAAGTGACGTGCTAATATCTAGACTTACATATTAAGGTACTAGTAGAAATGACTCGCATACGTAAATTTGAATAACTTGGATTGACCAGTCCCCGAAAGCAGCGCCTGTTCACAGACATGACGAGTGAACCAGCCATC